AAGAGCAGGATACAGATTGAAACGGTGGAAACTGTCTAGTCATATGTCTATAGGAGAACTCGAGTCTAAAATGGTATAAAATAAAATGTTTACAGGAGTCATTTTTTATTGTGGTTGATTTAACTTTTTTTTCTTCATTGTACTTTTAAAGTTCCTATTTTCCCTATAAACACAGTTCTACAAAAAAAAAAAAAATTCTAATAAAAGTCTAGACTCATTTGAAGTATTTTTCATATCTTCAGCAATAAGACAGCATTAAGTAGTGCCAAGAACATATTAGAGGAGGAATCAAAATATCTGGTGTCCCAACACTAATTGTGTCACCTTGAACAAATATCTCAGGAGCAGTTTACTCAACTGTAAAATGGGTGCCTAATCTACCTCACAATGCTGTTGTGAAGATCAAGTAAAATGTCTTGAAAAATGTAAAATGCTATAAAAATAGAAGATGCAATAATCAATATTATCACTTAAGAGTAGTTAAATATAAAACTGTTGCCACTGCCCTGGCCGAGCGGCCCTGCTGCTGGGTGTTGTCCAGGGCACTGGAGGGTCGCTGGACAGGCCAGGGCCATGCCAGGGGTGGGGCTCAGGGGCATGAAGGAGGCGGGCCATCTCACACCGATGTTTCTCTCTCCCTCCCCTTCTTTCTAAAAATAAAAAAAAAGTTAAAAACGGAAAATGTTGATTTGACCTTTTAACTGACTCTTGCAGTGTTATGTTCATGTAGTGAATACCTTTTATAATCATGTCCTATGATTTTGCTCAATGCTGAGTCAGAAATGGTGACATGAAATACAAATCTATAAACCTCTGGCCCAGAAATCATATAATAGCAAAATTCTAATGAGGCCAATGAACAAATTAAGCAATTAATTATGTAGTTTTCCCCATGGACACCAAAAGCTCCTATTTTCCCAAAATAATGCTCTGCCTTCTCTTTTCTTCAAATAGGCAGTCAAACTGCTTGAAATGCTCACACCCATCATTCGTATACTTGGGTTAAGCAACTGAAGGCTTGCCCTGGCCGATGTGGCTCAGTTGGTTGAGTGTCATCCTGTGCATGGAAAGGTTTGCTGGTTTGATTCCTGGTCAGGGCACATACAGGAGGCAACCAATCGATGTTTCTCTTTCTTTCTCTCTCCTTCCCCCTTTCTCTCCCTCTAAATTCAATACACACACACACACACACACACACACACGGATCACTTGTAATCTAACTTAAAAAAAAAGGCTTCTATTAAAATCCATGTGTATGTGTGTATTTGGAAATACAGTAAATTATTTTCTATTAATACCATATTAAAAACTGGTTATTAGATCCATTAGTTACTTATCTAGCAAGAAGGATAGAGTAAAGAACCCATTCTTTTCTAAATTTAAATATCTGTTAGGTCCTGGGGCTGAGAGTGTGAGGGACAGAGGGGAGGGAGGAAGAGGAGAGCGGGCTGAGATCCGGAGAGCTACCAGAGCAAGAAGCCTGGCTAAGACGACAGCAATGGTGGAGACAGACAATTAAAAGACCATCCTTGCCATCTTTACAACTTGTGTAGGGCTAAGTCTGACTCTAAGAAGTTATAGCAATACGTTTGCCAAAATAATAACTACATATTTAGTTCACTGATAAACTATACAGTTTATTTTCTATTGAATAATCCAGATATATATTTTGAAACAACTGCCATAGCACATAAATTCCCCCAATATGCATCTCCTTTACCTCTCTGTTATACTGATAAATAGTAAAATTCTCAGTTTTATCTTCTTCCCTCCACACCTCTCACATCTCACCGTGGTACTAAGGTAATTACAAAAGTCTGTTTAAATCCACCCACCTGTCTTTTGTTTTGCTGCCTAACTGGGTCTTTTCCAAGCAGGCAGAAACTCTCCAATCAGTCTGTTATCACAACCAGAATGTAAGAGATTAGTGGCCATGGGGAGAAGCAGAATCAGTTTACATCCTTTCAGGCTGGAGAATGATACACCTCACAGGCAAGAAATCTGAGGCTCCCTGACCTTAACTGAGAAAACCTGCAGTTAATAGTCACATTAAAGCTGGCTTTACATGCCAGACAGCTTTTGTTTCCTGTTGTTTTTACAACTGGAGTGTCCTTTGTGGTTATCAGAGTTATTTGCTGAAAGGCATATATTAACTTTTAAAAAATTTGATATATAATAAATTAGGTCTTACAGTTTAGGTATACCTGAGTTAAAATCTACTTTGTGTTCATGTTTTACAAAGCTAATAACATTACTTGTATTTAGCTGGTGCTAAATTTAGCAATTGTCATTAATTATGACAATGAATACACTGAAAACTCCTTTCTTAATTGAGGAATTAAATGCATTTTTCATTGTAATCTGTCAACCTAAATCAAGACTATAGAGATCCCACCAGGGCTATACTCTCACCCCTCCCTGAAAAAGGTCAATTGTTTCTGAAAGGAAAGAGAACAAACCCCGAAGCTGTAAATTTAGCAAGGAAAACAGGTCAAAAACCAGATGTGCAGAGCAGGGTGAACTGGCCCAGGTGATCAGGTCAGTAAGCAGAGGTTTCAAGGACAGCAAACTGAACTTGCCTTCTTTTTCATAATCAAACACTTAATGAAAACAAATCTAATAAACACCATGGGCCAAAAAGTGATCTTGTGAAGTGTGGTTAACTTTTAGTTAACATTCTAGGAAAGGAACCTGTATTAGTCAAACCCATTTCAGCTGCTTCAATGGAATTTACTGCGTGTTCACTAAAACGAGTCTTCAGACACCTGTTCTCTTTTAAAGAGAGTAATTTACAGGTGTGTGTGTGTAGTTAGTGAAATGAAATGTACAGGCCAACTATGGAGATGATGTTTAGAGAATGAAAATACAGTGAGTCTCTCTATAGTTGACATAGAAGAAAAGTTACAATGGCATTTTGGTATACTAAATATTGATATACTAAATACTGATCTATAAGGTACTGTTAGTATTATAAAAATAGAACTAATACTTGGAGGAAAAAAATCTCAAAAAGTCACATTTGCTACTTCTACAATAAGAGCAGGAATATCCATTACAGACAAGAGATTAGTCTCCCTTCAGTTTTGGCAAAGAGAGAACTATGGCAGTTTTCTAGAAGAAAAAAATTTGAAACACATGGAATGAATTTGCACAAGTTTGAAAAGGTGTCTTTGCTTATCCGGGGACTGTTGCACTAAAACAACTTTCTAAATTATGTTTAGATTTTCAAGATCTATGATACTGACAAGCCATCTCAAGGCTCTATTGGTTACATCATGTATTTTCTTAGTATTTACCAGTAAACTTTCATTTCTCTCCTCTTAAAAATATAGATGAAAAATTTAAGCAGATGATAATGACAAATTAATGTAAAAAACTGCTCTATTCATTATCCTATCTGCCTTTGGCATTATTAACTGTAAGGCCTCAAAGAAATATTTAAAAGTTAAAAGCTGTCTTCAAAAGAGACAATGAATTAGTGAACTATTATTCCTCACTAGGCAATTAACTAAAAATTTGAGCCTTATTAAGCCAATAATGGTTTGATAACCTTTTGAAAATTGTTTTAGTAATTTTTGTTAATCATTATATTAACAGCACATAGTTGTATAATTAGAGGGTCATAGTACTTAAAATGTATCCTTCTGGTTCCTTTTTTCCAGTCTCCTAAGATAACTGGTCTCCTCATAAAACACAGAAAAAAAAAAAAAAAAAAAAAAAAAAAAAAAAAAAAAAAAAAAAAAAAAAAAAAAAAAGGAAAAAAGTTACAAGATATAAATGCTATTTTCCCACATGATCAGACTTTAACTCTGAAGCCATAAAAAAGAAAAAGAAGAAAAAGAAAAAAAAATCTTATAAAATCCAAATAGTTTTTTAAGAGTGATTTTATAGTAAAAAGACCTATATGGCATTAAAAACATTCCTATATATAATTTAAAACTCTTTAAAAATTTGACAATAATATGTTCTATAAGCTTGTTTTTAAATTAAAAGATTGTAATTTACTTCAAAAAGGTAACAGCATTTTTTGTAACAAGCTTTTCTGTTTGGTGGTTGTGCTTATTAATCATTTTTCAGAGTTTTAAACTGTTCATTATCAGAAAAGATCCAACATTTAATATTGGAATTGAGGAGGACATTTGAATCTTTGCTTTCAGTAACCCTATAAATATTTTAGACTTACAGGATTTATTTAAAATAATTTAAATAAATTCAGTAAAGAACTTGTTTAGTAAAGACTACTATTATTTGTAAAAATAAGGATCATATTGATAAAAATAAAAATTTCTTAATATCAAGTAAACATTTACTGAGTAGTACTTGTCAGGCGCTGAGGTAGATGTTTTAATAAGATCCTCTGACTTAAATTTCCTCCATAAAAGTACCCAAAGTGATAACTCTAACCCTGTTCAGGTAAACACTTTTTTTTTTTAATGCCAGGTATGGCTTGTCATATTAGATGTGTGGGTATTTTTTTTTTTTTTGGGGGGGGGGTGGTGCTTTAAGGATTTTAAACAACTTGTCAAAATAGATGGTAGGAATCATCCTTAAGATAAAAACAAACATTATAGGGACACTGTTGATTTAATTAATGAAAACCACTTGTCTAAATACCTACACCAAGGAATCTGTATAATTCCGTTAACAAGATCCAGATGAAATATAACTTCTTTTTATTCCCCCCCTTTTTATGAAATATAACTTTCCTAATTATAATCAGTCTGAGAACTATTTTTTGCCCCAAAGCTGAAGGAGTCACTCGAAATACAGAACTAGCTTAAGTTTCTAAACACTAGAATTCCTTAAACAGCTGTTAACTGGGGTCATTGGACTGGCTGAAATCTGCTTCTTGCTTATTTCGTTAATGGTTCACTTCCAGGTCCTAAAAGGGCTGTAGCCTTTCTCCAAAGATAATGGTGGAGGCATTTATGTCTACCTTCTACATAGCCGGCTTTTCTGGATTTTCACTCTACATACAATGCAAATCTGAGTGAACTCACATCTGTCACCGATCGACCCAGTTCGTGAGCAATCTTTTCCCATCGACCTGGGGTCCCTCCTGGGAACTTAACCATACTTCTTGTCAGCTGGCTGAGGTCGTCTTCTGTCCATTCAGGTGCCTGCAAAACATTAAGGGGGAAAAAAAGACAATTTAAAGAATGTTTGCTAATACATTTAATAAACCTGCGAAACAAACTATTGGCAATATGCTTTCTGCAAAAACAATAATATTACAATGTATCTAATAGTTCAGATAGAGGTTTGAGTTGCAGGTTTAACATCAGAATGCAAAGCTCCAGTAGCCTTTTACATTTTCCTACGTATACCAAATATAAAAGTAGAAATATTGTGAAGTCAGGCTTTTGAAGAAATTTGGGGGAAAAAAGACAAGTCAGATCTGCATTAGTGAGAAATCATTCGCAAAGCCCATGAAATGCATTATGTCACTGCTGCTTAAAAAGCCTCATATAGTCACTACACTTAAAAGTTTTTTTTAAAAAACAAGGTTTTAATTGTTTTCTTTAAAGTATAAGCATAAATGAAAATGTCAACAAGAATGTAGAGTTCAAGAATCATAATTGAGACAAAGATCTATTTTGTTCATTCTAAGTAACAACTTTCTAAAAATCATGTATTTTCAAAAAGTGTAACTTATCAAATGTTACCATTTTATAAAATTTGGGAACAGAAATAAAATTAGAAATTCATGGGACCAACACCTAAACCATCAAGTCTGTGCAAAGCAACATTTCATTTTTGAGAAGGTAATCAGCTCCTAAAAGTCAATCAGATTATTATTTGAATAATAAAATACCTTGAAATATTACAGAAAATTTTTTTTTTTGCAAAAGCAAACATTCAAGGCACATTCTCTGCATTTTATTCAGCAAGACCACTTGGTCAAACCCAAAGCTGAGCAAAGCAAAAAAAAGACCCCCCCCCCAAAAAAATGATTATCATCTAATAAACAAACATGTTACAGTTATTTTGTGTTACATTTTAGCATTAAGCTATTCCCTACCAGGGTCAGCAACCACAATTCTCTAGGAGTCAGCAGCGAGATGGAGGAAGCCCACTTTATTTTTCTTTAATTAAAAAGGAGGAAGAAGCGAAAGAAGGAAACCTTTGAGACAAATACCTTTTCTAATCACCATTTCCGATAATGAACAGGCATACATCAGGGCGTTAGCATTACAGAACCATCAGCACAGAACCACCGTCAGAGGTGAGTGACCCCAGGGACTATCTCCACAGCTACAGCAAAGCTTCTCCCTGACACTAATCCTCCCTGTCATTCTCCCACAGCGTTCTAACCACACTGACATCCGCCTGCCTCACCGCGAGCTTAACGGGGCCCTTCCTGACTTTTACTGTCTCCCCCAATCAATGGCTCAAGCGTGCTCTTTTCACCAAGTCCAAATGGCAGCTTCACTCATAATCAAAGTGCACTGCCCTGTTAAAGGGCTTTCCCAAAGGCTCTCCCATTTGCATTCATTTGCAAAGCAAACTACTTTTATTCACTTTGTTCTGCTATCAAGAATGTTCCCTGAAGCAGATAAATTGGCATAAATACAACCTGCCACTTAAGAGTCAGTAAATAATAGCCAATAGTAGGGAGGATTTTATCAATCATTCTATTTGTATCCACTAAAAGCTGAAAGCCTCGAACATATTCATCAGTACAACCCGTAGATCCATGCACAAATTCACATAAGAAAGTAGCCTACATTGGGTATGGTTGAAATTTCTCTGATATTTAATGATATCAGAAATCTAATTTTCCGTATCAGGTCATTAAAATTTTACACTGAAGATTTTCTTTCTTTCTGCTTGTTTTTACTTTGTTTAGGGGGAAAAGTATATTTTTATTGCTATAAAATTGAAACTTTTAAATAACTGTACCAGTTGATTTCAGAAAAGCTAAATAGTTAAGAATTTAAACATAAGCTTATAGTATAAAGTCATACCAAAAAGAGCATTAGGTTGACACTGCAGAGATATAGTATTCAAACTATATAGTAATATCAATGCAATTACACACTAAATAAAATCACCTTATGTTTACTTCTAACTAATTATAACAAATATTTTTGGAGTAAACAAAATTGTCTAAAATGCCAATAATATATAGGTATTGTTTCCCATAGTAAACTAATTTGTTCAAATAATTTCTATTTTATGAGAATGGTTTTCCAAATATGCTGCATATATGAGCAATGGGCTTTACAAATTTTATTAAATTCCCTGTTAATAAGATGAGTCTAAAAGTACAGTTCCACGTTTTCTGGGAAGGAAAAGAATTAAATATTTGGGCTGATATCCTGAAAAATTATCAACTGCGAGAACAATCTTTCTTTTTAGTTTCGAAGTTATTTCATGGCTGTGATTTTTTATTAATTTTGAGAGAGATCAATACCGTGTTTCCCCGAAAATAAGACATCCTCCGAAAATAAGACCTAGTGCATGGAAAAATAAGACATACCCTGAAAATAAGACCTAGCGCATCTTTGGGAGCAAAAATTAATATAAGGCACTGCTTTATTTTCAGGGAAACAGGGTAGTAACTAGGACCATAATCTGAAACCTTTGAGAGAATACTTTCAGCAGATCATTGCTCTCTCCTTCAGCTGTAGGCACGCCGGGGCCTGCGCCATTCCTCAGCAATAGTTAGCTGTGTCTTTAGGCGACAGAGCCTCCTGTGCCCCAGCCGTTACGGCCGCTAGGAGGGTGGCCACGGTGTGGATGTATTCTTCTTGTTCCGATCTGGAGCCGACTGGAGCTGTGAAAGTCAAATGGATGCATAAGCATACGGCTTTGCCACGTAAAACCATGTGTGTCCATTATTACCAAGACACTGGGCCAAAAATTCATCTCTTTAGTAAAGTAATGGGAGACACCACATGGTGCGGGGACAGCTGTTGTGACTACAGGAGCATTCCAATTTTGCATCAGAAAAGCCCCACTCTGGGGATAAATCTCTATACTGAATACGACATAAAAAGTAAGTTTTCAAATTATTCAATATTTTTATATGATGATTCAAAAGTAAGAGCTGATATGAAATTTTAGATTGTATTCCCTAATAAAGTCCCTTTGGAATAGATTTTTGTCAGAAATCCAGCTATGTCAAAGATTTGGCGCCCTTGAAAATTCTTACTATGCTTGGGGGATAGGAGCTGGAGGCTGTAGCAGAAAACAGGTTATATTTTTAAAGTAATCTAAACACTTCCCCCCTCACAGCTTTAGAACATAAAATGTTAATTAAAATAAGGATCATGCAATTTACTTAACAATGAAAATTTATGACCAAATTAAAAAAAATTTAAATGTAATTACTTATTTTCATACTTGAATGACAAAAGGTCCATTTATAGCTAATAAGTAGATACTGAAACTCCCTAATGAACATAGTTTCTATTGAAATGACTTGTTAATAATTATTTATATAATTAAATAAGTTGCAATTTTGGACCCAGTAGTTTTTAATAGATTCAGTTCAACTCATAACTTCTGTGGATGAAAAAGGGGCCACATGATAAACCTGACAAGCTCAGGGGAGGCCTAATGATGGTCTTACAAACTCCAGACCTAAGGTAAGGACACAGAATGGTCTGAAAGTGAAACTTTCTAACTAAAACCAGTTCATAGCTGGTAGTCATGTCCTAGGTGGGTATTTTTCCCTAACAAAGATCAATCTTTACTTTAACTGAGCCTGTTATCTTGTTTGTTTTGTTTCGTTTTTTGTTTGCAATTAAGGTAACATATCCGATAACAGTAACCTTGGAATATCAAAGCAATTTCCTTTTTTCTGGACCCCTCAAAGCACAACCAAACCAGAGCAGAGATCATAAATGCCCTCATTGTTAGTATTATCATGCTAATTATTGACTGTTAACTATGTTATACCCACAAATGTTTTACCTTTTATCCAATCCCAGAGATACTTCCTCCATTTCCCCCCCTCCCCCCTGCTTTCAATGTATAAAATAAGGAGCATTTTCTCAATCAGCTGAGATTTTGCTTTCTGGCAATTGTCATCAGTTTGATGTAAATAAACTCATAATGTACAGGTTTGGATATTTCTTACATTGACACTTCCCAGATATGTTACCTAAGAAATAATATCCTTATATAACATTATCCAGTTAAAATATTAGATGTATATCTAATGATGTGGTTGATATATCTAGTAAGTGAATGATATGCTATCCTCTAATTCTATGTCCTATACTGACTTTGTGTTTTAGAATGTCAATTTGGCTTTTGGCTACACATTTTCCTTTCAAATTTCACTATATATGTAAAGAAAAGGTATATAAAAAAAAAAAAAAAAAAAAAAAGCCAGTAACAGAATTAAAAACAAATCACTTTAAATATCTTTTCACTCTTACGAAGAGAAACTCTTTGACGAAAGTTTGCAACTCATCCCAAACTATCGTTCTACTGTTGTGATCTTTTAGCACACTCAGTATTTCAAGTGTGTCCACAAGGTCTCCTCATCTATGATGAGCTGCCTTGCCAAAAAAAGAGATCCCACCTGGACCAGTGATTGTAAAGTGTGTTCTTTGGGGTGGCACTGCCACCATCTTAACTAGCTAGTTATTAATAACTAGAGGCTAGGTGCATGAAATTGGTGCATGAAGGGTGGGGGGTCCTCTCCGTCCAGTCTGCACCCTGTCCAATCTGGGACATCCTTCTCACAATAATCTAGGACCACTGGCTCCTAACTGCTCACCTGCCTGCCTGATTGTCCCTAACTGCCCCCCACCCCTGCTGGCCTGGTCATCCCCAACTGCCCTCCCTCCTCAACTGGCCAGGTCGCCCCTCACTAACCCCCCTGCTGGCCTAGTTTCCCCATGCAACCTGTTCAGTTGTCCATCCAGTTGCAATGGTCACTTAGCCTTTTATATGTATAGATCACATGTGTCAAACACAAGGCCCGCGGGCCAAATCCGGCCCGCCAGGCCTTGTAATGTGGCCCGCACCGCGCTGTCATCACTGCACTCCGCTGCGTTTCCATCACAATGACAGTTTATGACTGTTCAGTAAACCTTTCGGCCCGCGATTTAGGCTGGATTTTAGATTTTGGCCCCTTCTCTGATTGAGTTCGACACCCCTA